CTTTCTCAGTTTGGAGTAGACTTTTTTATTCTTACTGTATAGTCCCATTTGCAAGTTTCATGATTGCAAGCTCAGACGGCAACAAAATGTGGAACTTTGCAGGGGGTGAAAACGGCTGAGGTTTTTACGTGATTTGCTTACTTGCATATTGAAAATATTTTTTAAAATATCATACTCAACCCTCTGTAATGTTAATGTATGTAATGATATACATTTAAACATATAATTATAGGGAAAAATATGCATACCTGTAAACATACTAATATATTTACAGGGCAGAATCTAAATTTGTATTTAACAAATGTATGTAGTGTTATTCAAGAACTATATTTGAAAATCACTTCGATGTTAGATATCAACGTATGTATCTTGATGTTGCAAGAGAACTAACTGTGTATCACTAAGCGTATATATTTAGTAACTTGAGGAGATGATGTCTTATTAGCTCCACGTTTACTTTTGTTATTTAAAAGAATAACAACATGTTTTGAAAAGACTGTATGTCTCTTGATGTCCAGGGAATTCTGCGTATCAGTAATCGTCTAATACGTTTTCTGTGAACTTTTGTATAACTAAACAAACAAGGAAAAACAAGCTGTAAAACAAAAGCCTAAAATGTACAACTAAGAACTGTGACCCGGATTATATGTTTTACTACTTTTATACTTTTTATATTTAATGTTGAGTTGACATTGCCGTTTTGTAGCAGTTTCACGACTTCTTTTTTAGTGTATTACTGAAGAGACTATTAAAACTTACATTCCACAAGTACTTTCATAATTTTAGCGCTCTCTGTATGGTTTTATATTAATATGAATAAGCAAAGTTGTTTTAAACTATTAAATATAGAAAACAATGGATTTATAAAAGGCCTGGTCTGGATATTGTTTCATACTATAATGAATGTTTAGATTCGAGGCCATCTTGTCTCTTACGATTATAATTTATAACCACTATTGAAACTTGCTCATGGAAATTCGGTCAAATGTGGAATATACAGCCAAGATTAGTCCTTTCTAGAAGTATTTTCTTAAAATTTATTCGGATGGTAACTTCATGTAGGAGTCTACGTGGAAATCCCTCTGAATAAAAAACCTAATAAATTAAATTAACAATAGACTCGTCCTTCTATTACAGATTTCAAATAGATATAGTGAAACTATTTCCTCAACGAGTGAGTTCTTATTGATGCCAAAAATCAACTAGCGGTTGTCAAATAAAATATAATAATGATGCAACTTTTGCGAAAGATTATATATATGAATAATATGCACCTTGAAGCATTCCGGTCCTTAAAACCAGCCACCACACATTGGTTTTCCATGACTGTTTGATTGTAGTCTTTGTGCCTCTGTTCATTTTTGTATACTTGAACCAGTTCGTTAAGCTCATTGCCATCCCTGCAACTATTCCACAAAACACATACAAGATCCAGATCTGAAAGGAACAATAAACTCATTACGTGAATAACAAGCTTTGTAATATCGTTTGAAGTAAGAATTTAATAATACCACCTGGATATGTAGTTTTATTAAATGCCTTAAAGTTGAAACTTTGGAGCTGGCATTGTTTTAAGCCATTCATTACACATGTTTGGGCTATAATAAAATCAGAATATTGTATTTCGTTATATTTCAAGGATGGTCGGGGGCTTATGGGAGTTATTTGTCAGTAGACCACTACTGATTATTGATCCACATAGTTTCTGAGGGTGAAGAGAAACATAAGATTCTGAGCGCCCCGGCTTGTCTTTCAGGCCCCAAATTCTTTGAGGATTGAAATATATTAAACTAAATTCCTGCCACAAATTCTGATTTGATTCATTACAAAAACAAAAGCTATGGAACATAAGGGGATTGTTATAAGCCAATAAACTATATCGTTTTGGCCCATACAATGGATTAAAAAATTCCAAAAGAGAGAATATAGTTATGCTTGCTTTAACTATAAAAAAACTTTAAAGATATTTTGTTAGAATTATTATCAGATCCAACCTAAAATATTAATGGGTAGGAAATGTAAGTTTGTTTGTTTTCCTCAGTTTTACACACCTGATAGGAACCTTCATCAGAGAGAGGATTGTGTCTACAACTCAGTTATCATTTAATATAATTAATAGAAAATAAAGAAATAAGTATCAACATTTTACTCACCTCTGCCTTAAACAGAAACAAAAGAGCTCCAAAAGGCCTCTCTGCTGATGACCTTTTCGATATGAAAGTAACATCGTCAACTGAAATACACTTAACATAGTCAATTGCACTTTCTCGTTCCAGTGTCCACGATAGTAGAGCAAGTCCAATGTCTCTCTCCTAAATGAAAAGAAACAATATATATATATATATATATATATGTGTGTGTGTGGTCTATTTACTTGGTAAATGTAGCCAGTAAGCTAGAAAAAGTAAATGTATTTAAAAGTCTAAATTATATTTGTATGTGGATACAAAATTAAATAGAATTTTGGCAAAAAATAAATTATTCGGTCACCAGCTGTTACCACTGAACGCAATAATACTTAGGTTGAGCCTTTCAAGTATAAGACCAGTTGGACTTGCATGTACGAACACTGAAACTTGCGATATTTTATAGACGATAATGATAACTGATAAATAATTAATTTTCATTAATAGTAAAACGAAAGGGCCTGACTTCTGAAAACTCGAGATTCTGTTTGTTCATTAGTATCGATTAATTCATTATAATGATGCAACAGGCCCTTTGCTACCCTTGTACCTACCTCCTCTATAGTTTGGCGACTGTGTTCAGTTTGGCGACTATGTTTGACATCAAAATTTCCAACGTTACAAACTTTATAGAGAATAACGTAGTCGACCTTAAGTCATACATCTCGAAAAGACCACATTTAAGTAAACAATAGCCACACACAAAGAATACCATTGGAATTGCACTGGGAGATTTGACAAATACCTGGTTGAATGAGATTGTTGTGAAAACGGTTTCTTGATCCATATTTTATGACCATGAAAACAGCCGGCGTTTTTAAAATGTGACTGAAAATTTATGGACTTTTAGCTTATGAATCTTTCTCAACTTTCCTTATTCATTATTTTTATTTTATTTTACCAAGAGATGTGCACAGTTTCATCGCAAAGGCTTTGTGAGTCAGAAGGTTCTCTTTTCATAGCCATAGCCTTCACTTTGTGGATGACGACGTTTCTCCGGATTGACTTGTGATATGGTTTCATATCCTGTTGCTGTCCCAGACGATCTGTTGTACAATATTTTTTTCCGTTCATAGAATACATTGTGTGTTTATTTGTTTCTGAATTTCG